TTTTTTGCAAAGGTAGGGGGAAGCATTTCAGGGTTGGCTGAACTGGGCTGCTCACCTTAAAAGCTTGTTCTCAGCAGAGGCATCAAAGCCTCAGAAGACCTCATGCAGGGGAAATACTCTGGTTTCCTTGGAGAATCAGAAACACCAGCTGACCGGATCTGGGCAAAGCAGCCCTCTTACCGAGAGGATCAGACCCACTCTTTAGGAGCACAGTCCCCCAGAGAGATGGAAAGCTATACCAGACTGGCAGTTGTGTTTTTACTTTCTTCAACTAGATCCAGGTACTAACAAGAATTCCTCTGGATTTGGCACTATTCTTGACTATGAAAGAAAAGTGCAGAGAAACTCAGAGATGGGTGTTCAAGTTCGATCATTACTTACCTAGCTACATGGTTTCCAGGCCCTGCTCCTTTAACCTTTCCCCATTTGAACAGTCTTGTTACCTTCAGGAGGAATTAGAGAAATAAGACTTCCTGCATAGCAGGTTAAAATTGCAGCCTGGAAGACTTAGTTACTAGGAAATGCTCCATACCCATAAGGACATTAAGCAATGGTGTTGATGCCCTAGGAAGTGTACAACTGGAGATTTTTAACAACAGGTTAGAAAAACATCTGCTAAGGCTGATCAGCTGGTAGAGGCAGCATATCCTCCCCCACGATGGACAGATGAATTCCGTAAGTTTTGGAGGTGCCTTTTAGACATATTTTTAGTTTGTTCTCCAAAGGCAGTGAGGCAATGGCTCTCCATCCCAATTTGCCAGCCCTTAGTAGCTTCTGACCCACCTGATGAACTTCAATGAACTTTGAGAGAAGAGATAGCAAAAATATTAAGTTCCTGCATATTTTAAGAAAATATGGATGAATAAAGGAGAACAAGGAAATTAATGTCCTTATCGATTTTTAATATGGCCCCATGTCCTTTAGGAGAGGCAACAGCCCCAGCTCCTGCGGCTCTGACTAGCACAGGGTGCACACAAATCTGCAGGAAACCAAACCTCGCTGCTTCACACTTTGATGCAGGCGAACAGTACAGATGAAGTCAGAATCAAGCTTTGGGAATCTGCTCTGACCTGCCCAGGCACCATGTTCAGAAACAGCATTTGCAGATGGTCCCATAACACTCAGACAGAAAAGATGTGTTTATGTAAATCAAGTTTTATGCACGATTTTCCAGCATACAAAAGATGAATCACCAATACCCAAAGAGGCTGATTATGCCAATGACATACTAACCACAACAGATTATCAGGATATTTCCCTGTATTGATGAGGTGAAGTAAGGCAGATAACTTAGAAGATATGGTAGGGTAATTCTTACCAAGTGGCTCCAAAAGCAACCAAAAATCCCGTAACTGCTCATTAGCAAAGCTTACTATCATACTGAGACACAGTTCAATAAAACTTGTGAAAGCACTTTATTTTCCCCTGTCTTCTACAGTATCCTCTGGGGAAATCTCACCCAGCATCCAGAAGGAATGAAACTTTCAGAGTATTTTAGTGTTTGTCTTTGTTGCTTGTGCAGGTCTTAATGGTACTATAGGAAATCCAAGTTTGGAATTTGGTGTTTTTTTGGTTTGAAAGCACATCATCCTAATGGAAATATGACAAAACCTAAATGCTCTACAGTACTTTTATATAGTGCCTGCAACATTTTATCAGAATCATCATAGGAGAGGCAGTGATTATCCTACATCTGTGTTTTACTTTGCAGCTGTACCAGTAACTCCACCTCATACCAAAGCTGAGCAATACTGCTTGGAGCAAAAGACAGCATTGAGTTGTCCATAACCTTGCCAAACTTAGAGTCACTGGGTTGGAGTATCCTGTATTTTGGGAAAATAAATAAAGAAAAAATGTCTCAGCCATTTCTAAGGAGCATCTTAATGCTTTGAGACAGCACATGAAATTCTGAATTGTCAAATCTGGGGATCTCAAAGCTGGACTTCTGGTCTACTTTGCACTAAGAGGATTGTGCCAGTTTGAACAGTTTTATGATGGCTTGGATAGAATATATGTAAAAAAACCACGGTGAAACCAAAGCCAGAGATTATATTTCCCCATGAATGTGCCAGGAAACACAGAGGACAGATTCACCAGCATCTATGTAACCCTGGGAAGCGTTCCCAGAGGGACTAGCAGGAATAAATTATGAAGTACACATGGACAGCAGTCTCTTCACCTCTTTTCCTACCACTTGCAGCACAGACACTGACACCTGTGCTTGCCCATATCTTTGACAGAATAAACGAGGTGCAAAATGTATCTTTTAAGCTGGCCTGCTAACAAGCATGGCTTTCAAGTAAAAGTAGATGTACCAGAGGGCAAACATAAACAGGGAGGCTTGGTCTACCTCCAAAAGCCTTCCACAGAGGTGCTCCGAGATGCTTAAAGGCTGTAATGTGGATTTTCCACAACATTGCAAGGAGTGCTCTAAAGGCTGGTAATGAAAATGCCGTCCATGCTACAAAAAATCTCCCTTGGGAAACATTACTTAGCACCCACTTAGCAAGCAATGGGCCAAAGAGAGGGGCATATGGATTTGAGATTTGTTGTGCCCGTGATACCGATCTTTGAGTGACCCTAATTTTACCGCCGCCCCCCCCCCGCCCCTTTTTTTCAATCTCAGTGCTGCTTCCTGAAAGCTGCTTGATCAGAACCTTCATATCAAACCTCAGTTTTAAATGTAGGCAACCGTTGTCTTTTTCAGAAGAAACACACAAAAACAAGAAGCTAAAAAACCCACAAGGAATCTAATAATAAATAGGGCAAAGATGTAAACAAACAGATACCTCATGCTGTGCAATGGTTCACAGCTATTGTATCAACAAGTTAGTGTTACCTTGGAAACAAGAGATTACTGGTACATGCCTTCTCCCAGATGGAAACTGGGAAAGGAGGCATGCAGAATTGAGTTTGAGCCTTCTAGACCTTGTGGAGTTGCTGCCCAACTGTTGATGCCAATCGATCCCAATCACAACTATTGATGAAAATTCAGAAGCAGTGCAGAGGTTGCACCATCCTCAATGCAATGTCCATGGGATGCGGGTGAGTACCTGGCTAGCTTGTCCTCTCCACCTTGGGATAACACAACCCTTTTCCAAGCAAGTGCAGAAATGTTACTCCCTGGAAATACTCTGTGCAGAGCAGAGGACACACAGCCTTGTCTGATTTGCAGCAGCAAGGAGAGCTAATAGCAACAACTTGGCACAACATCAAATGACTTTAATAAAATAAGCTTAAACTAACATGTTGTACCCCATAGCTGAGGCAGATTAAGACCATGAACAGACACGAGGTTCATCACATGGGCTCTCTGTGTGAGTGGGAGTTTGTCACAGTGCTGTCACTTGTTTGCATTCAAGTGTGTGCCCATATTCGAATAAAACAACTCTGTGGTTTTTGATGATTTTTCCTGCTTTTTCTTAACATGAATGATAACCATCAATCCCGGTCCCTGGTAGATTCAGTCCAATGCAGTTGTATGCAGGATGTCTTGGTCTACTGCATAACACAAGGCGTAGCTTTTCGTCGGGGCTGGGGAGTGCTCAGAGCTGCCAACTCCGACTGCTGCGAATGGGTTCCTGGCTGCTGACTTCAGCCGGGCATCTCACCCCAGTGGGCATCAGTGAAGCTGTGTCCCTCCGGAATAGCTAAATGTTTGGCCCTTGGAAAATTAGTTGGCTGGGTTTACACATACAGCTACAACAGAAATGATAATTTCCTAGTAAGTGTTGAATTGTGAACAAGCAGAAATTTATACTAATATATATTCAATGTCACCTATGATTACAGACCTACATTTCAGATAACCCAATAATCTGGATGTAAGAAATTTAGAAAAGTGAGGGTTACACTACATTAAACAAGATAATAATAAGTAGGAGCAATATTGATTTTTTTTTTTTCTAAAGAGATTAAACAAAAAAAAAAGGATTTGTAAATCAACTGATTGTTACTTCCCACAACCCAGCTGGTTTGTTGGAATTTGTATGACACTGATGTTCCTGTGCAAGTCCTTTTTCAGCACTCTGGGCTGAAATGTAGGGCTACAAAAACAGATTAAAAATATAGAGGGAACTATTCTTCCCACTCTGCCAGCAGAGCAGCTTCTAAGGACATCTCCATGCATGAATGTTATCAAAAGACAAGGGCATAGACCCCGAGGGCTTCCCGTAGATTATTTAACCCCAGACCTGCCACTATTAGATGTTCCAGGCTTCCCTATGGCACATCTGGCTCTTCCCAGATGTGATTTATCCCTCTGCCCTGTCTGTCTGCTCTGCTTTTGCTTGAGGTGATCTCATAACTGAAAAAGAAGGAGACTAGGGCAGGTAAGAGGAAATTTTGACTTCAAATCATGTTTTCTAATTGATTTCAGAAAAAGAAATAAAAAAGAAAAAGCAGTATGAGCATCTGTCTGTCACTTCCCTCCTCTCTGCCAGGTGGATGTGATGGGAGGACCAGGTCAGCCACAGTGCATCATGTACCTGATGGGATCCAGATATTCTCAGGCTCAGAGGGGAAAATGGGGAAGAAGAAGGGCTCTAGTGAGAGAGATGTGTCAAGACTAGTATGAGCTACTGTTTCTGCTGAGACAGGGCTGACGTTTTCTTGCAAATCCAGCATCCATGCACCCATGCACGTGGTGGCATCTCAGGTCACCTCTCACTTAGTATAAACCAGGAATCCGTTGAGTCACACAGAACTAAACTGTGGCAACTCCACACGTACAAAGCCAGTTCTGAACCCCTTAACATCTCCCCTTCGCTCCGGTTTGACTTAGGTAAGACTATTCACAAAACATCTTAGTTTCCAATTTCACAACAACCTAGCCCATCAAGTCTGGTGATCAATTATTAACCACCTGCTGAGAATTTTTTAGACTATAGCACACAAGACAAATACCACCCATGTATCCCATCTTTCGGGCTAAAGAACAAAAGCAGAACAAGAAGAGTTGGCAATTTTGACACAGAAACTTCATTAGGTTCAGTACTTACAATTGCATGACCAGATATAAATGGTTTGGACTCTCATAGATGTCTTCCAGGGCAACTATATTTTCATGCTTGATCCTGAAAAAACGTAAGATGAGATAAAAAGGTGATTTTTATTTTTTTAAGTGGCTGCAAAACATTAAGATAATTTTAGTTAGACACTATTTGTTAGTGCTTTATTCAGCATCATAAAATATGATTTTGACCAAAGTAAACAGTCAGGAGTGCTTCACAGCTCAGAATCATGTTATTACTCACAGAAAATACCTTCAACACGCTCTGAAGCCAAACTATTTAAGGGTTAAGTATTTGCAGCATTAGAGGCTTACAGTTCCTGTGTTAGATGAATGGTGATAGTTGGTGGGAGGTTGAAGTCTCAGGACAGCAGCAAAGCAAGGTGCAAGGGAGTGACGGCGGCAGGGAGTGGGCTGGCAGGGAGAAGGCAGGGATGTGCCCCTGCACAGAACCTGGCACAGGTAGGCAGCAGCCGTATGACAGCCCCACGCTCCTTCCCACCAAATTCACCCTGCTCTGATGTCACACCTGCTCTGGACACCCGAATTTCCCTGCAGCATTATTAAGCACAGTGTGCTTTCTGTGCAACGCCTCCGAGAATCTTCATGGGTTTTCTACACCCTCATCACCGATCATTCCCACTAAGCCTCTTGTCAAAATACTAGCTTTAAAGAGAAAAATCATCTTTACAAGCACACATCTAATTAACTACTAGAGCAATGCCTCTCTGGGTTTGCTCCTTAAATGCTTACAAATAATTTCCAAAGGATACATTTAACTTATGCAAAACCTAAAGAGACTACCAGTACAACTCCAGGGGCAGAATAGTAATTACGCCAATTGCAGACAATCATTTTAAGAGGAAGAGAAAGCTGTGAAATGCTAAGCAGAGACTACTCATTAACCAACAGATGGACACATTCAGAAAGAAAGTAAAAGTGCACCATCAGCAAATGCAAAACTCTCTCCATGTTTCAAGGTTCAAGTAGCTTAATTAAAATACTTAATCATGTGTCAGGACCTCATCCTCAATGGCTCCAACTGCCCTAACATTTACATGAAGATGCTGAGAGCAGAAGGACCCCTGCGCCCAGCATCTTTACCATAAGAATGCAGACTAATCCAATTTCCTCTGAATTCAATGGAAAGGTTATGACTGACCTGAATTTACGCCCATAGTCAGTCATCAAAAGCTGCATTGATATAAGGACCTTCACGCACAGGAAATTTAACATCATCAGTAAGTGAACTCAAATGTAACACACTACAGGATGTCAGAGCAACAAATACTTGAGTAGGCTCCTCACTCTACATAAACATCTGGAAAATCCCATGATATTTTAGTAAAATTTCCAGGTAGACTCAATCACAAATTAAGTTCTTATTATTGGCAACAGGAATCCAATACACCACCCACTTGGCTTTACACCGCACATGTTTAGAAACCTTTATTTTGCTGTGTAGATCTAGTGCCCAGTCCCTTAAGGGTTACAGTCAGGGCAAGGGCAGTCTTGCTTTTCTGAAGTTAGTTGAAAGTACACTAGGATCCCACATGCCATTTCAAGCAAATAGTCCCTGTTAATGGAAATTATTATATGTATTTATCCATCTTCCTCCATGCACATGCCCATTCACATGATCGTTTGTGTACCTCATACCATCATGATCAAGAGGGCAGTTTTAATACAAATAATCTATATAGCATTATGTGTTTAAAGCCTCAAACTTAGTCTGCCATACAGTTTTCACCATGCACATATTAATGCTTTGCATTTCTATTTTTGAGAACCTCAGAGGTTCTCCAACCCAACCCCCCCTCTGAGACAGCGGCCAGCAACACCCAACTGTCACACACGTGGCTAACGGGTGGGTTACCCACAAAGACGAACAGCCAGGGAGGAATAGGCCAGAAAAAAGCTCATCAGACATGCAATGCCACACTCTAAGGGCTGCCGCAAGACCCTCGTCCCTTTCTGATTTGCAAACCAAATGGGCACAACACCACTGGGCTCTCTGAAGGCAGAGAAACTTGCTCCGTTCTAAAGTGAAGAGCCTAAAAAGGGTTTTAAGTCCTACCACTGCAGGGTCCTCTGTATTGAGCCAATCTGCCCCTCTTTGAAATCATATGCAGGACGTAAGCATGTGGTGTTAAGGGAGAGAGTGAATATAAAGTGTAAGCTGGAAGAAGGCATCAGAACCAGCTGAATCACCTCCAAAGCACAAAGGGAGCCAGCGGCATAGGGATGAGGGCATTTGGAAGAAGATATCCCTTTGGGAGGTGATGCCTGATCACACCAGCCACCCCAAACGCTGGTGGCCTCTGCGCTCGAGGGGCTTGCTGAGATGGGAAAGAAACATTTTTTCCCACTTTCTCTCAGCCTCCCCAAGAACAGCAAGGCCTTCATTGTGGAGTTAGGGAGCGCTTAATATTCCTGGTGAAGTGCACATCGCACGCCTGCAAATGAAGCAGTTTGTCCTGCATAGCATTTCTCTACTCAGGTGGATTCTCAGATGACAAGCTATATGAACGAAAAAGGAAATCAAAATAATAATAATAATAATAATAATAATAATAATAATAATAATAATAATAATAATAATAATAATAATAATAATAATAATAATAATAATAAAAAAGATGGACATCACTTGGGGAGAAACCTACTGTTTAGATCGAGTTGCAGGTTGTGTTGCTGAAGCTGGACCAGAGCAGTCATGGGCTTCCCAGCAGAGGTCACTGCAGCCAGCAGCAGCCCTGAAGAAATTCCCGGGGCTCTTTTCTTCATTTTAAAGCCTGAGCTGAGCGATTGCTTACATCCCGGGTACAGAATGATTAACCCTTCAAGGCTGAATACTGCTCATTACAATAACACCCCAGGGTTCGGGAAATCAGGTGCGATATCGTCACAGCGTTTTGTCGATACCACAAAGGCCAACAGGGCCTGGGACGAGATTGTCCCACTCTGTGAGTAGATCAGCAGTGCCAGACATGCAGGTAACAGCCAAACAGACATTCCTGGCTCACACAGATGCCCAGGTACATCAGGAGTTGAGGAAAGCACTGTGCAGCAGCAACTACTTGATGGTCACAGATCAGGAGGGATTTGGGAATGGCTTAATTAACTCTGTTTTTATCCCCCACTAGAAGCACTGAGTGAATCTCCAAGGTTCAGAGGATTCATCCTGCTAAGCCTCCAAATGCCTCCACGCAGCCCCAGCGGTGATCTCACTTAGCAAAAATACTCTCTGGACAGTCTGATCTCCTCAAGACCTGCCAGGATTTATTTTTTTAAAAGGTGCTGCTCTCATTTTACAAAAGGGGAAGTGGAGTGCAGAAAAGTTATAAGTTTTTCTGTTATCACATGAGAGGAGGGAACAGAGGGGGGCAAGAAACAAGGTCCCCTGACCCCAGAGTATTATCTTAACCAATGGGCCATATTATTTCAATCCCTTCTCCTTCCCATCTCAGTGACAAGATCTTAACCCCACTTCTCCACAGCCTTTTTCTTCCCTCTGGCCTCTCCCCATCCCAATGTGCAGTTCCCATGCTGCCATGGATAAACCCGACTGGGATTAACTCTGCACAAAGTAATGCGTTGATGTTGTTGTGGTATGTGGTGGTGCAACATTATGGCTGTAGCAGAGGGGACATGGACATGGATTGGGGTGACAGCAGTTCCCAGTAAGAAAGAAGAAAAGCCTCAAAAGTGAACATCAAAATGTGGTCTTGGTTAAAGCAAATTAGATCACATTACATAAACTGCTATGAACAAGGAAACATCCAGCTAAGGAAATCTCCCTTACCAGCCTTTTAACCTCCCCTTCATCCTTCATCATACTTGCTGTTTTCCCTGATGCTCTCCCTCCTTCCTGGCAAACCCCAGGTGCTGCTCACATCTCCCACACCCTGATGTGTCCCCACAAATCCCCCCATCTGTGGCATGAAGGGCAGGTACCACCTCTGGCCACTGTTGCTTTCTTCATTTTCAAGAATATTCTGAGGCCATTTGACAGAAAGAAGATATCTAGCAAAAATAAATGCAAATAAAGAGAGGCTAATACTTTAACCAGTTCACTCAGGATTCTACCCTACAAGGTCCATGAGATGCTACAATCCACAGGACAAAGAAGAGGAAAATAAATCTAGAAGTGAGAATCAGGGAAATTTAAGTATACAAAAAAGCGTGAAGAGTGATTAATACTGGTAAGAAACTGAGAAGAAAGGGTAGATTCACCATTTTCAGAGCAGCACTGGTTTGGATGCTGTGCCACAGGCAGACACGCGCTACAAGGCTCGATGCAACCATATAAAACTATCAAGTTTCCCCTGCAGCCTTTCAGGTCTATGACTCTGTCCATGTGCTGTTACAAAGGTGTCAACAACAGAAAGGAACAGAGGTAATGTTGCACCTGAGCAGTATTTTAACACATGAGCAAACTGCTACCGAAGACTTAAAGGAGCAAACTGGCCTGGGCAACCAATGACTTCAGGTGACTTTTCCAAGCACGGCAGCTGTGCAAACAAGGGCTGACAGAAAATCCTTTGATCTGCTGCAGAGCCTCAAGCACAGACTGGTCCCCTTTGCTTGCTGTGAAGTCATTGCACAGGAGCGTTGATAGGGGAATTGTCATCCTTCCCCAACTGCTACAACATTCAGTGCTGCTGAAACACAGAAACCTCTGCCCCTGAAGGAGCTGAAATCCTTCCCCAAAACAAGACTTGACTTGACCAGGAGTGGCATTTGGCCCTGCATGACAGTTTCCATCACGCCAAACTGGGTGTGCTGTGGCGTTGGAGTAGTGATGAGTACATGGTGTCAGTGATGCTAAAATCCACCCTTGCCACTGGCCAGCCCAGAGGCACCATGTCCTACTGACTGCTACCAGAAGGGTCCAAGCACCATAGGTCCAGAACTAGCCCTCATGGGAAAAACTCACTTCAGCATTCACCAGAAAACATATTCATGAAATAAAAATCAATATATTCCATGGGCTTTGGCTGGAGATTGCTTTATTGCTTTTAAGAAGCAAATTATTAAAATATGGACATTGATGTACAATAA